CGCACCACCCAAGACGTTTTAGTTTTTTTTTTGCTTTCCTGCGGACCTTTCAAAGGGCCCAAACTACGGGGCTGCTTGGGGTTGCAGCGTCCCAGCGAGCCGGCAAGCAGCTGGTTCCGAATCCCACACCGCAATAGCACGTCGCCGGGTGAAGTATAGGACGTGGTGTTACTTCATGAAACGTCTGACGTTGGTTGCGCTATGTGTGTACCGTTGTCGTTTCGCAAGCCAATGCGAGTGCACGATGAACTCCACGAGTTGGCCACCAACTCCATTGGATTGGAGCAAAGCACATCTGTGTTGTAACGTTCTCGAACCCGGTGAGGGTCGGCGTGAACCGTGTGCCATCCCGCTGAAGCACGCCCTGCACCTTCAATGCGGGAAATGTCAAGCTTACTGAAAAAAGAATCTTGCTGAATTGAGAAGAATGTCAGAAAAAAGCAGCTTGTTTTAGGACACCCGCGGACGGGTGCACTTGGTTTGCAGCAATCCTGGGATGGACCTGAGCCTCGTTCAACGAGACCAGTGGCATTACCTGCGGCCTTTGCGGTAGGACCAGTAAAGTGACCACTCACACGTCAAAGTCAAAGTCTTCAGACGGTGCTTTGACACACTTTCATTGAAAGTCAACGTGTTCAGACGGTACTTCACCTCTCTGAACGGGGTCTTGAGCGTTTCTCCACTGCAACCAGCGACTACATGTAACGGTGTAACAAGCGAGAGCCGATGGCTATAGCACAAGTCCTGCTAATTTAGGTTTCCTGTGCCACCACATCCGGGCAGCAAACAGCACAGCATACCCGTCAACCGCCCATCTCATTGAGCGGAGCACGGATTCAATTCAATTAGAACTGAGTAACACGTTTGCACTGCCAGGTCAGCACCGATTCTACAACTGAGGCGCTCCTCGAATGAAAACTGCGACCACCCTGTTGGCCAGAGAACTTCATAACAGGGCTTGGCTGGGTAGGATTGTTTTGACAGCAAGTGCAAACATTTGACTTCGCTGACAAGCTCCCCCGCTTATGAAAAAAAGGTGTGGGAAAGGACGTGCCAAAGGAGGAATCTTCAACGAAGCTGACTGCCCCATTGCAGCAATCGCTAGAAAAATGGAATGAACAACACACATCCAGCCAGGCAAGTTTTCATCGCTGCCCACAGCCAGTTCTTCGGCAAGACCAGGGTCCCATTTGACACGGTTCTGGCAGGGCGCTTGGCCAAAAAAAATTTAGTGTCATCATCAAGCACTTGCTGTGTCTCGTTTTTATCAAGCGTTGGGTTCAACACGACGATCCAATCCCACGCTTTGCGAGGCGAAAAAGATCATGGAGAAGCTCCGTTGGCTCACCAGCCATGGCTCTCTGTGCTTGCCCAGAAGCTTGGATTTCACAATCTGCCTTCCTCCCCAGACGTTCCAGCGAATTGAAACACCAATTTTTGAACCGAGCCCGTTAAGGCACTGATGGTTGACATCACGCGCTCTTGCGAGAGAGCACGGGTTGCCATCAATGTGCGTCTCGCCGACATGAACCTTGATGTTCCCGTGCACGATGCACGCCGCATCGAAGTTGTCTGCAATGGGCTTCCGCTTTGGCATGGACACCAGCTCGCAGTTGATGCCACTATCGTCAGCCCAGTCGGGCGTGATGGGGAGCCCCGGGAGCGGTCCCATGCCCGAGCTGGTGTTGTCCTTGCGAATGCAGCCAGGCGCAAACGCCGACAAACCTACCCGGACCTCAGCACGGCACGCCGGTGCCGCCTGGTCGTCTTCGGCATCGAGGTTGGGGGCCGGTGGGCACCTGAGGCCGCCACTTTCGTCCGCTTGCTTGCGCGTGCACGCGCTGCGAGTGTGCCTGCCATCCTTCGGCCCGCTGCTCAAGCCGCATGGGTCCTGAGGTGGAGCGGAATCCTTGCTGTCGCTGCCCAGCGCGCGCTTGCCGCCTCCTTGCTACACCTCCCTCTCGCCAACGAGTGCACTGGTGGAGGGGCCGAACCCGCTTTGCACGAGCTGCTCGCTGACTTGCGCTGGAACGAATCGCTTGAGTGCAGTCGCATGCCCAGCCGTGCTGCGTCAGTCCTTCCGTAGGCCGTGTGGGCACAGGGACCGCGCGTTTGCAGACGGTTGCAAAAAGGTGCGTTGGAAAAAAAAAAAAAAACATCACGGAGTTTGGTCTGCCAGGAGGAGCATCGTTCCCAGCCACCTCTTGATGGGGCAAGCACTTTGAGCAGGAATCCCTTCGAAGCACATCAGCGAAAACTGAGGGTGTGCATTCACGGGATGGGATATAGTGGATGGGTTCGGTATTGCAGCAAACGGTTGCAGCAACGAAGTTGCCGTTGGCAGGGAATGCCGGCTGACCAAACCCAGCAAATGCGAGCATAGGTCGAAACATCGACAACTGTTGCTGCTCCTGGAAGCGACGTGCTGTGCCATGCAGGAGGCCCATGCCGTTGTCAGGATGGTGTTGCCTTTCCAATGCTGCCAAGGTCTACCCATGGCAGGCGGCACCTAGCCAAATTGCAGGCCTTGTTACAACCAAATGTGCCGACAACAAGCATGTCACGCAACGACCTTCAGGCTTCTAATGGTCAAATGAGTTTTCGTGGTCAGGAAGGGCACGCGCTTGCACTGTTTGTTCGAAGGCACAACAATTCCAACAACACCTCTGCCTTCAAGACACTCAACCATTTCCTCAACGGGAGCATTCACTTCACGAGGGTCAATGGATTTAAAAAGGGACCTCAATATTTGGGACGCAAACTTCCCAGGGCAACTTGGCGGAATGGCAACGGAAACGTTTGCGGCAATCACCAAGCACTGCAAGATGGGAGCACTGGTATATCAATTCTGCAACAGCAAGCTTTACGCTTGTGACCGTAAACCCCGAACCTGTACGTCTTACAGTTGCAAGCACAGCTCTGGGGCTGCGGTCGCTCTTAATGTGCTTGTTAGGGACTTGAATGTTCTCCCAACTCGCCAAGACGACCGATGCATTGAGGTCATCGCCAATGGCCTACCGCTCGGGGGCGGCGCCCAGCTTGCAGTCGACACCACGCTCGTCTCCCCCCTCCTGTCCCGCGCAGGGCTGGTGGCCGTACTGCCTGAGCTGCCTTGCTCACTGCAAGACGAGCGAAAGAGCGGACATACTGTGAGCTGTGCAGGTCCAACCTCTGCAGGCTCACAGTCCTTGCTCTTGAGGTTGCGGGGCGTTGGAATGCCGAGGCCGCGACGTTTGTCCGCTTGCTGGCAACGTGCCGGGCGCGGTCCGTGCCGCCACCCGCACACGCTGCCGCCATCTCGGCTTTCACTCCCCGGTGGTCTGCACTCCTTTCCTTTGCAGCCGCGCGATCTTTGGCAGCTAGCCTGACTGTCGTTGCCCCTTACCGGCACGGCACATCTTGACCGGGAGCTCCCACCTCTCAGCGACATCCTCGCGGACTCGCCTTCCCAACCCCCGCTCACCAGCCGTGTGGTGTGACTGCGCTCTGTGTGAGCCGCCTCTTCCGCTCTTCGCTGTAGACTGTTGCGCTGTTGCCTTGGTTTTGGGTTTTGCACACGGACCGAGCTGCTTTAAACGTTGGTAGACAGGTCAACAAACCAGAGACGATTTTTGTGTAGCAACTGTGGGCAGGCTGTAAGGTATGCCTGCTTTGGCCCACCTGCTCGTTGAAAACACAGGCATGCGGCATGCTGCAGTGTCGCGATGCCCATGTGAACATTGCACGCATACCTTCCAGAGCTGACTCGGGCGATGTTGCAACGGGCTCCCAGTGCAGAGTATCCGTTTCGAGCAGCATAAGCAAGCGGCATGCATAGCACTCAGCATGCTGACACCACAACGTAGAAGTATCTTTGTCTTCAACGTGCGAGGGGGAGCAGCAGACACAGCAAGCTGAAACAAGTTTTGCAACATGCCCGCACAAGGCGAGGGCTCATGACAGTTACCAAGCCAACGACCAAGGCTGTCAAGAAACTCGCGTGCCACAACCTCTGAGTTGCGACAAGACGTATGCTTTCAATATCTCTTGACACGTCGCATGTCAAAGCGTGAGATGGCTATTGGTGCTTTCGTTCATTCGGCCACTTTCGCACAGTTAAGATGTTGCAATAGCATGTAACAGTCGGTTGATTCATCGTTTGTCAAGCAGACGTAACCGCAGGGCTTTGGCAAAACTTCACATTGCGAGCCGCTTGAGCTTTACGATGGCACAAAAATGCTCTGGCCGCCGGCAGGCCAAGTTCAGGAGGGACTTTGAGGTATTGGACGCGGGCGGGGGGGAAATTGCAGACAGAAAACAAAGAAAAGACACAGAAACAGAGATGAGTCCGCTAACGACATTGAACGACCACGTCATGGTCAGAACATGCAATTTGTCCGCTTGCCAGCTTGAACGACCATGCAGCCTCAGGTTGTTTTCGAAGCGAATAGCTCGAAGGCACGAGTTCAGACAAACATTTAGGATGGCCGTGAATGTTTGTGCATTACATTGTTCGTTCCTGCTTGTAGCGATGGGGATGTGGGGCAAGTCGGGTCGGCGCGTGAAGAGCCGGATGCCCGGAGCTACCATGTTGCAGCGCTTTCGTGTGCGAAATTTCGCTGGCGCTCGCGGAGGCAAACGCCACTCGGGCCATACGGCTTCTTGTTCACGAACCATGTTTCGTTGTCGACTTGTGTGTATTTGCTAGCCGCCATGTGTTTCACATTGATTTTGTGGGAGCACTGCGTGATGGGTCGGTGCACGCGGGACCCTTGCTCTGACCTTGCGCTGGCCAAACAAGCTCTGAGTTATCGCGCGATTTTCGTGGTGGGTTTGCAAGGAGTATTGAGGTCTTCTTATGTGAATGTGGTTCGAGTTGTGCAGTGCTTGCGAATGCCACTCATGTGTCCAAACCCACGCCAAGCTACATCAAGCCAACCCTCCCGATACCCTCGATGTCAAAAACTGCATCCAGCATGAGCATGTTTGTAAGTGTTCAACCGATATTGTATCGACTCGCAATGGCAGTGGGTACCACCATGGCGGGTGAAGGCAGCACTTCAATCAAGGCACATTTGTGAAAGCTGGGTTTTCAAGCAGATGCCATCGCTTGGATTGCAGTCTCATGTGCGTCAGTGCCAGGAGAACCATTCGCCTCTCGACGTGCACAGTTTTCCATTTTATGAGTTAGTGCATATGTGCCGCGATGATGTATTGTGCTTCGTTTCATGTTCTGCAAGGATGAACGGGTCTTCTTCGAAGGGTTATGTGGTGAAAAGCGCTGTCGCAGACAAGGGCAATGCCTTGTCCCATCCGCTTTTTCGGCCTCTTGGATTCAAAACATGTGCGGCCTGATGTCACAATGACATGTGTGTTACCATGCGGTTGCAGCTTACAAGCTGCAGCATCAACGCTGTGCAGGCGAGCGGCGGAAATGGCAAGCAAGTCAGTTTTTGAAAGCAGCCCAGAGAAGAGCCCTTGCCTCGATTCAGGGCATTCCTCAACTAGGTTTCGTAGCCATTGCATGTGCCGCAAGAGAAAGACATGCCGCTCGCTTGTTGTTGTTCTCAGCGAGCCCCTGGGATGGCCGGTAGCAGAGCTGTCCTGTGCCATGGTTGGTCAGGCCGAGTGGTGAGATGCCAGAAATCGCGCAACTCGATGGAGCACTTGCAGATGATGCAGCGCGAAGCACAGCACAGGACCTAGACTGCACATCCCCAAGCGCCAGCTCGACGATGCCTATGGAAGACATGAGGGAAATATTAACCGCTGTCACTCAGCATTCGGACCTGGCGACAGCATTGCGGCAGAAAGGGCAAGCGGGACGAGCTGTGCGGACGCTGGAACGGGCGGTTGCCATGTGTGCGAAAGCTGAGCAAATCCACCCCGCCATCGCTGTCGAAGCAGCACGGGCACGTGTGAATTTGGCAGCTGCTTTGTCCGAGGTGGGCCGCTCAGTCTATTTGCGTAGTTTTCAATGCTTGGCGGCGACACTTGGTTTGTATGAGAAGGCTGCTCGTCATCGAGAAGCCATCGCCCACATCAGGAAGGCCCAGCGTGGATTAGATCAAATTTTGGCATGGGCAGAGCAGTGTGGTGGTTCTGACTCTGGGGCGCCTTAGCTGCATTAGCTGCATCAGCTTCTCAACTAGCCTGCTTTCTTGGCTTCTATGGAGACCCGTCGTGCCTCTGTCTCTCGTTCTCTCTGTTTCTGTCTTGAATTCTATCCCTCCTCTCTTTCTCTCTTTCGCAATCTCTAATTCAGTCTTTCTGTCTTTCTGTCCTTCTGTCTTTCTGTCTTTCTGTCTTTCTGTCTGTGTCTCTGTCTCTGTCTCTGTCTCTTTCTCTCTCTCTCTCTCTCTCTCCCTCTCTCTCTTTTGTTCCCTTCTTCCTCTGTCTTGTAGCTCTCTCTGTTTCACTTCGTTTTGCGGATTTTCGAAGTCTCTCTGCGAAGGCCAAGCAGATTGCAGGGGAAGCTTCAGCGCTTCGCTGTGCTGCGCTAGTCGCAGAGTCGATCGAATTAGATCTTTGCCCAGGCACAGCTAGAGTTCATTCGCCAGTTGAACACTTGTCGCGACGTTACAGCTCACTTTGAAGGTGCTGCTGCTGACTTTGACATGCCCTTGAGCGACACGACTATGTTGCGCGAAACGCTGACACCGAAGAACCGAACGGCGACATGGCTGCAACGGCGCCCCTTTGTTTGTCGTGGTCTCCAAGTCGAGGTGAGCTTGCCGCAGATCGGACAGAAAGCTCGCAGAGAGAAGCAGATGCGCAAGGATGACAAAGCTTCGAAGACCCATCTTCCTGGCGCGGTGAAGTCTTCAGGCAAGATTCCGAAGTTGATTGGCTGTGGTGTCGAGCCACCACCACCACCACCACCACCACCACCACCACTACTACTACTACTACTACTACTACTACTACTACTACTACGGCTACTGCTACTGCTACTGCTACTGCTACTGCTACTGCTACTGCTACTACTACACTACTCCACTACTACTACTACTACTACTACTGCTACTACTACTACTACTACTACTACTACCACTACCACTACCACTACCTAGTCTGTGGTTCTTCGCAGCTCCATCATGCCGCACGAAAGGGTGTTCAGTCTGGCATGGGACAGTGCATAGCGATTTTGTTTTGCCGAGATGTGGTGGGCGAGAAGCGGCAACCGGTGATCAAGCTTTCGCTGCGGCCGCGAGCTGCAGAGGAGCGCACCGATGTCTTCAGCGACTTCCTTCGACTCTTGCCAGATCCACTTTGATGTCGGAGTCGGAGTTGGAATGTGCAGTTGGCTTGAGGTGGTGTGGAGGCTGAGCGTGTTGCCCGCCTTGGTGCTCTCAATGAGCCTTGACGGCCGGAGTTCCTTCGAAGGTTGTTTACCACCAACGACGAATCACCGGTAGGCTTTGCAGCTCGGCGGATTTGAGCTAGCCAGGTTCCACATAATCCTGTTGAGGACAATTGGGAGGACCAGGCGAAGCGGCGGTTGGGCCAAGTCCACCGCAGGAGCGAGAAGGTATGCATGTGAGAGGTTCGAGGGTAGTCATGACATTCTGGATGGCGGCGACGGAGCCGCTGGGTAATGTTGGTATGTAATAATGTCACCACGTGACAGACGACTTGAAGGACGCGTCTTCAATTGGATTTGATGGGTGACAATGACCTCAAGGCCTGCCTCATTCGGCCATTCGGCCTGCATGTTCAACCGACATCGTCAAACATGGGAGCTGTTGGCAGGAGAAGCGTTATACTAGCACTGGGCACCAAGTCTTCATGAAGGCAACTCAGCTTGTCTGCAGCAGGTCACTTTTGGCGGAGACTGGATGTCCTGCATGTGCTTGATTGGTCAGGCTATGAAGAAAGCCAACAAGAGCTGGAGCGATCCAACTTTGTTACAGGAGGCCGCCAAAGAAAATGCAACGCCGGAGATCCTTCAGGTAAGAAAAATGAATCGTCAGCTCTATGTCAAGCCGCCAACACCACCGCCGCCGCCTCCACCAAAGCCAAAGATGGATCAGTCCTTGGTTAACAATCTACGTTCCAATCATGGGAGGCCAGAGTGCAAGACTGCAGCTTGTTTGCTGTCTGAGTTTGCATATGACTCTTCGCATTTGTGGCAGAGTCTTCGTGCCAGGTCCAGCATCAAGGCTGAAGCGTAATGCGTTCACTGTTTCACAGATGCCTTTGCAAAAGCAAACGCGTCTAGTAGGCAGCACAAGAATCCAGCTCGAGCAAATTTGCAAAGTGAAATGTGAACCTAGCTGTTGCGCCTGCGGCATGTAGAGGAACTTACATGACTTGCTTTGGCATTGCGCCATGCCCAAGGCAAGGCATATTGCAGCTCCAAGAATGTACCTGAAGCCGTCGCCAGCGAGGCGCGATGGCTATACGAGTCCTGTGTTGCGGTGAGTCCTGACACCAAAAACTCCTACTCGAGGCTCCGGTTGTCTATGAAAGCCAGCCCTCACGACGGATAGTGGATGCGTGCCACACGGATGGCTCTCAAACGGCGGCTGCAAGGCATGGCGCCAACACAAAGTTGTTGTGATCTAAGGGTGGGTTGACACGACGCCGGAACATGTCCCATCACATTGTCCACACTCCTCGAAACCATTAATGGACCATTAACATTAACATGTACTTGCACGACTTGTGTGCGAGATCACGATAACCGTTCGCAAGTTTTAGAGTGTTTAGTTTTTCTAGAATTCCAGGAGCACATCCCGCAGAAGACTCCATGCCCGAACACGCTTGGATCTCACATCAAACCTGGTGCATGATTCAGCAGCGGTCGATTGCTAGACGGACCCAAAGCACGATCTAGAAAGGCAACTGCACAATGATCGCTGATAGCCGGTGCTGAAGAGCGAACCCAGAATAGATTCAATAGATCCCAGACGAAATTGGAAATGGCTCAGGCGAGTCAGAACCGATTTCAGGCTGCATACGGTCTCAATGAATCCCGGAGCCGTGCTTTTCCTTACGCATATCTACAGACACAGACTAATCTGTAGAAAGCCACTGCAACGTGCAAGACACTCCCGCTTGGAGTTGCTGCGTGGCGGTCGCATGGGGCCACTCAACGAAATGGTTTACGGGTTTAAGGTTGTTAGGGTTTCGAGTTGGGGCGCGAGTGGGACAAGTGCAGAGACTGGGGCAAACCCAAAAGGTTTCACCATGCCAGCAACTGGGGTAAGCGGGGCGAAAATGATTTCAATAGTTCTGTACCTGCAAGCGGTCCCCGTGCGATGTCATATCATTTAATTCGAAAGGACCCTCATTGAGAGTGCTGCAGATGCCGCGGCGATGGTTTTTGAACCTTGGTTTCTGCGTTGATTGCGCCTCTGTGCGTCTCTACACGCGCGTCAGCTTCTGCAGTTCCCAGGAGAGTACACCGGCATTGGCTTCGGCCGACGCCTCGTCGAGCCATGGTGCTGCTCCCGCAGAGTCCATGGTTTTTGAGAGCAAGCCGCAGGAGTCCAAGGCCAGGACAGGGATTCTCGGACACGGTTGGACCAAAAGCAGCGACATTTGCTGTTTTGTCTAACACACATGTCCATCGTTTGTCAATACCAGAGGGCACACGTGGGTGGTGTTGCAGTCGTTTGGTGGATCGTCACATAACGGTTTCATGCTTCCTCGACCATTTCCCGCACGCAACCCGAAGAAACAAGCCGGCGACCCGGCCTCCAGCTATTTTTGCGTGCATCGGGTCTCCCTGAAGTCCAAGATAGTGTTGCAATGCCTGGTCTTCCACGACATTTCACTGCGCAGGCAGATGCGCTGCACAGGGCTGGTGCTGCACTCAGCAGATCTGGCCCTTTGCCTTTCCCGTTTCATGCAGTTTCCGGCTGGAGCTGGTTTGGTTCTCTGCAGTCTTTGTCTCCAGCACAGGTGCAAGAACCGCAGCAGATGCTGAGGAGCTCATTCAGTTCCGTGGTTGGCACTGGAAAACCCTTGAAGTGTCTGCACATGCTAATCTGAAGCAGGTCAGCTGCAGACTTGTGGACCTCCGGCCAGAACCTTGTGTGGCTCGGATGCCCCTGAGACATCCTAACGGTCCAACCAAGACCAGCGACCAACATCCACCGCTATCCCAAATCAGTTCTTCAGTGACATGGTAGTTGACGATGTGCTGCCAGGTACGAGAACAAGCCTGCTGCAAGCGATGCGCATGTTTCACATGCATCTTTGCCCGAGGACGGTCTGAGTCCGATTTCTCAGATTTTTCCGGTTGTAGTAGGGTATGACACGCACTCAAGTTGCGGTAGTTTGGATTCGGTTATGTGGTGTTGAGTCGCGTGGCATGGCTCGTGATTCCGTTCTGGAAGCAGGCGCCCGCGGCATCGGTCTATGAGAGCAGTCCTGCTGCTTCACGGGCTGACGAAGCCTCGGGAAGCCTGCAGGGAATGCAGCAAAAGAGCGCACTGTCAATACTGTCCTTCGCGACATTTCTTATCCAGCTGGCAGCAGCTGAGGATTTTATCAGTGGGAATGCATGCCTGGCAGACGCCGCCAGGATAGACTTGATGCTTCAGTAATGACTTTCAACCCTTGGAAGATCTTGCCGCAGGACACTAATCGAAGATGCTGCCGCGCAAGCAGAGCCCACAATGCCGAAGCCAAAGACACCGTCCGCGGTTCCTCGGTGCAACTTGGGGGCTGCTGAACGAGTAGTCAACCAGCCACTCACCAAGTATGTCATCGAACCTGTGCTTCTCATCAGGCAGTAGGCCAACACAAGTGACAGCATAGTTGCTTGTTTGCCAACACCTGAACGCAGCTGATGTGTCGAGAGTGCGCCAGGGATAGAGGCTCAAGTGCAGCCGCTGATCCCCCGCGAAAGGGAAAGTAACAGATAATTGGGGATTGGGTTTGTTATTGTTTCTTGTGACATCCGCACCCTTGGTCGGGGCTGTGCTTAACAGGTTGGAAGGCATTGGGAGGCTGCGCCAACAGCCGCAGAAGCAACCGGCTCGTTGAATTAGGCCATTGCCATTACCTGTCCGTAGTCGGTAGGCATTAGGCCACGCTCGCTGCTCTGCGCGCTCATGAATCTGTTCAGGGCTTTCTCATTGTGTTCATGGGGGCCTTCTTTTGCCTAGATTTTTGGGGAAGTAGGGATGATCACCGCGGGACCAGCGCAGAACTCCGTGGGCTCGAGCAGCCCAAAAGCCCGCGAAAAGCTACAAGACATCTTCGGTGCAAGATCTTCGAGGTGCACGCTACTTGAGCCTGGCAGCCTGCAAAGCCTCCAAACCCCCACGGCCCCGAAGCCCCCAACGCCTCAACGTCCCCAAAGTCCTCTGCTTCTCTGTTCAATTTTCTGAGAAGGCTTCTCCCAAAGCCTTCAATCGTCCAAACCAAAGATGCCCATTCGCGACATGCTCTCAAAGCACATTGCCTTCGGGCTGAGGCCGAAATTCCAAATAAAAGATGCCTCGTCCGAACGTCACAGCAGCAGCAGTCGTGCTTCTGGAGAATGGCACCAAAGTCTCGGAATTGCAGTCCGTGCCAGATTTGTTCCTCTTCTTCACAACCTTCCAAGCACCCACCCTCGACAAGCTTGACGGTTTCCCGTCGGAGATATAGCAGATTGGAAAGGCAGGAAATTGACGCGTCATCTCAGACGTGCGCGGCAATGGAATGCGTCCTCGACGTCTGCAGCTCGCACAGGGAGCGTGGAGTTTTCACACAAGCGAGGGCGTTGGGCATAATGGATGGTGCAAGGAAGCTCAGGTTGCCCAGAGGAGGAAGCAGGTCGCAAGAAGCTCAAGACCGTAATTTTCGCAAGTGTAACAATAATCGGAGAGAATGCTGGCGATTTCAGAAGCTGGACGCGAGCTTCAAAAGCGAAAACTCTGCGGACTCACGGTGCATCCATCCCTTCACTCCCTCCTGTACCTGCCCTGGACCGTTCCAAACGGCGAGACTCCTGAATTCCGCGTGTAGTTGCCGGGCAGACGTGAGTATAACAGCCTTCTCTATGGTTGTCGATCTTTTCCTTGACCCATGCGTTTGGGAGACGCACCAATGACAAGCCCCAACTTTCCCAGTACATCGACATGGGAGAACCTGGAAACCTCAGACCATCGTGTGTCTTGCAGGGTGGACTCGGTGCCATCTGTCATTGCAATGGTCAGTCAGGCGTCGGGGGACGGATGCAGCCCTTCGCGAAACGAGGATGATGTGCGACCCATACCCTGCTTGGTGTCCCACGATCCTCGGTCTTCTTGAGTCTGCCGCTGGGCTCTCCCGGTGTGCAACGGCAAGTGTCAGCAAGCGCTCGCGGTCTAGTGCAGGATGCCGAGGCAGGATGCAGGACTTGCTGTGAGAAGCGGGACTGCAGAGGCAAACCCTCGGCTTCGTCTTTGATTCGGTCGGTGCCTACGGCACCCTTGTAGGACCCATTCTTCCCAAGAACATATGCAGCTGACACAGGTTGAGTATGCAAAACCTACAGTTTCGGTCCTGACCTGAGGCTGCCGCGAGGGCAACAGAAGCACGAGATACCATTGAGAAAGTCGAAGCTTGGCAGGAACATGAGTTGTTGTATGCGCTTGCAAACTGTCGAGAACTGCCAAGGCCGCATCCGAGCTTTCAATCGGACAGTCAGGTGCGGCGTCATGCCCTGTGTGCTTGCACGACCGGAACGCGGACTCTTTTTACGAGAAGCCAGATCAACGCATGAACACGCTTCCACGAAGTGTGAGAGATCAATTGTGTAAGCATGTGTAAGCCATTGTTGCAACTCCTCCTTCTGTGGTTCGATGGTGTGGACATCGCTGTTCCCAGCTGCGGCTGCTGTGCAGCTATGGAGGTGCGAGCGTCTTTGAGAGCCAGCCGGCCGAGAGCATGGCATCAGCTTGCCATGGAAAAGATTACTCCAGCGGGGAAGAGGCGGGAACGTTTCGAGTTTCAAGGTTGAAGTGTTGCGGGGGCCGGAGTACTTGTCAGAGAGGTGTTAGAGAGGTGTGTGCTCGTCCCACTGACAGGTTGTCAGAGTCATCGTTCTCACAGAGCATCGGGTTCCACTCAAGTCCCTTGCTTCGTCTCTCTCCCTGCTGACAGTTGAACAGACGGCTCGCGAGGCACAACATCCGTCGGACGTGCGTAGGGCACCCCAAGATACCGGATACCCACTGCCAAGCCGAATCCGAGAAAGCACATTGACAAGCTGGCCGCCGCTTCAATCGACCTGACCCGCGAGAGCATCGCGGTGCACCATTGCCTGATGTGCACGGCAGGGCTGGAATTTCGTGTGCTTTTCCAAAGTCATTGGCGACACCAGCTAAACAGATCCAGAGTGTTTGCACATTGCAGACACTCTTGAGTTTCAAGATCCAGGAACACGTGCGGAACACACAGTGGAACCAAGCGTGCGAGCCTTCCCCACCACTATTTGTACAGCGGTTGAAGAGAACCGACAGGTGACCGATGATGAGGAGGACGACACCAAGGCGTAGTCGGAGCCTTTGTCCGGATTTCCACGTTGTCGTAATTCTTCCAGCTAGTCTTGCTGTCCGAGTGCGGGCTTTTTGTGGTGCTCACTTCTGATCGTACTGATTGTCAGTGGTTGCAGCTGTGGTTTTGGTCCAAGTGAGTCAGTGTGTGTGTGTAACCGTCGATTCTAAGCTAGAGGTCTCTGGTACATCTACCATCAACGATGTTCAGCAGCACGATCTTTTCAATATGCAGGGGGACTGCCTGATCTGTAGCAGTGGCAGTCCAACGAAGAGGCTGTTACAGATCACTGATATGAGCTGGGGACGCCTAGCTCACGTACCTGCCGTTTCAATCAACTCGGAGTGACAATCATCGCTGTACATTGTTGCCATCGTGTATTGGAGCAGTGAGACTCAACATGTTTGCTTCAGTTGTGTCTGATCCCGACAGTTTGCCACAGGTTGAACTCAGAGGTTTAAGGATTATGGAAGGTCCCGAAGATCTACCTCGTATTTAGAGATGGAGTGGAATGGAACTGTCCTGATGGACTCCTTATCTCCGTGTGCGGCCTTGTCGCCAACGGCAACAACCGCTCCTGCGGACTGCCAGGGTACGTTGTGCGACCCAAGATGGTACCATAACAGGCCGTACTCCTTCGGGACAGGTCAATAGTGCAAAGGCATTGTAAAGAGTGGCCCTTTTGTCAGGTGATGGGTCTAAGTGCTCCTAGAGAGCAATCGGAACAATGGTGCCCCGATTGGTCAGGTGATGGGCTTACGTGGCCTAAACACTTCAGAAGTCACTTGGGATAGTGATCAATCGATTGTTGCTCCAGCGAGTTCACCCCAGCTTACTTCGCGAGGAATTGCCCGTGCGAAGAATGCTGCTAATGTCCCTAAGGGATCCGTGGGACAAGTTCTGCAGCAGAGGAGGGAACAGATGCTAGGAGCAGTGGAAATGTGTAAGCCTCCTGAAGACATCAATATGTCGGCTGCCGAGTCTTCTGCCCCTGACAGGGAGATACAGGTTCAACAGGACCTGGCGGATCGTGCTGTTCAGATGGCGACTTCTCGCAGTCCTTCGGCATTAGGAGAAGTCAAGGTTATGTTGTCAGCGTCACCATCGTCGGCAGCACCTCCACCCCCTCCTCCACCTCCTCCTCCGCCAGTACTTCCTGCAGGAATCGAGTGTGCACCAACGCAGCCCCCGCAGTACGCAGGTGATCCCTTGCTCACGACTAGTGGCCAGGACGTACACTCTGAATTGGTTTTGTCGAGGACAGTGGGTGGCGCAGTCAGTGTCAAGCTTAAGAGCTGGCAAGGTCGCCTTATTCTGCAGGCAGCTCCTGAGGACCAGATCCAACGCAACATGAAGATTGTAGCAGACCTTTGCAGTGACTCAGGGATTCAGCTTCCGCCTCTCTTTGAACTTCGGTGCTTTGCAACGACGATGTGTCAATTTACAGGAGATACATCTCGTATGTTCTGTCGAGTGAAGTGCCATGAGTCTAAGGCACATGTCTACTGGAGTTTCGATCTGACTGATCGGTTTGTACCACATGACGGTTCTTCTGCAGAACAACGAACCTTATATTATTTTGCTCATGGCTCGGACATTGCAGGCGTGCAAGGCATAATCCAATCTCGGTTTTTGGCACCAGCCACACTGGCGGACGCCCCGGAGGCCGTAGGCCATTATTCGCAGGCAACACCGTGGAGCGATGACATGTCGTTTGTGCAGATTCTTGATAGGGTCACGAACTCTGCAAAATGGGCCTGCCCCATTCTCACACATGGGTATGCGAGTGTTCCTGGTCAGCATTTCGTTCTGAAGTCTGGCGGCGGAGATGAAGCCCAGCAACAATGCCTCATACATGGGGTCGTACACTTCAAACGGGACCATAAACATGTGATCCACAGTGGCAGGAGCACGGTGGCAGGTTTCACAGTGGCAGTTGCCAAACAGTTCACTCCTTTGAGAGATGCTTTCGGTCGCCCGCTTTTTCAGGTTCCTCTGACACATGCTCAGCAGATCCAGCGTGGTGCAGGCAACTGACGTTATCTCGCAGAGGACCGAGAAAACAAACAAGGACTCGTGTGCGAGTTGCAAGTTTGCTCTTGGGGCAGGACTGCTTGCATCAGCATCATGCCACATGTGCGTTTTTGAACAGTTTTCGGCCTTTCAGGTATCCTTTCGATTGTGCTTGAGCCATGTCGAATCGTCGTCGCGACTCGCGCTCTCGAAGTCCACCTCGCTCCCATCGCAGGCATCCTGAACTCTCTTCGGGCCGTACTGCTCGACATAGATCTCGCACTCGTTCTCCAAGAGTTGAACGAGGAGGTGTGAACATTCCGGGAGCATGGCGACAGACTTCACAGGAGTGGGATTCGAATAAGGTGTATGGTTTGACGTTGCCAAGCTGTGTGACCTCCAATCGACTCACTCGAGAGCTTGGCATTGCAGGTATGGAGATTTTCGATGTACCATTACACAAGGTCGTTTCGGGAGGTGCTACCAATTGGGCTTTGAGGCAGATTGCTCATGGTCGCACTGTACAGTGGGAGAATTCGGGTGTGTTTTGCCGGGTACTGATGAGGGCACTTCGATCAGAGCAGGCAGAGCAGGAGGGTTCCGATTTTGTCACCATTCTGAATGCCGCCCAAAAGAAGTTGTACCCAGATTCAGAACTTCATGATTGGTCAGCTCGTTACAAGACCATCCAGAAGCTGGTCGAGGACTTGGTAAAGGACTTTCGTAAGAAAGCACCAGTTCAGACTAATCAGACCTTGTTGCAGCGACTCCAAGCTCTTGAGTCTGAGAATGCTCGTTTGAAGGGTAAGCATCCTCGCTCGGCTCAGTCTGCTCCTCCTCGTCGCAAAGGCACACCTGCTCGTCGACCAAGACAGGCGGGGTCGAAGAGTTCCAAACTCGCCTTCGAAGAAGAGGACCTTGAAGTCGCTGGTGATGGCGAAGAGACCGCCAATTTCGGATCACCCGTCGACTTTCCTTTTAACGAAGAGGAGGAGGACAACGACAATGGTCCGATGGACGCTCAGGACACGTACTCGCAGTATCTTCCGAATCGTGACAGTACTCTTTACCTCGAGAGTTGTAGCTTGGAAGGCATGAACATCAAGAGTGTCAACAACTGGCTTGCATCTACTGCTATTCGGAAGGACAAGAACAAAGTGATTGATACCGCAGTTTCCGAGTTTGTTGCTGCTTGCGCAAAACTTGATGACGGTAGCAGGAAGCCAGTCGACAAAATCGCAGTGGAATGGGGTCTTTCAGTTTCTTTAGCTTCCAAACTGAATGAGAAGTGCCTCACTCGCTTGATCGCGGGAGCCCACTTGCTGGCCAACCAGTGACTATGTGCGGCTTCGAGCGCGACAAGGACCCACCGACAGCGATTTGTTGTCACTTTTCTCCGACGGTTTTCATTGATTCTCCCCATCCTTTACATTCTCATGCCCCACAAGGTGATCGACAGATATATGTGGGTTCGATCCCACTTTTTTTCGTGTGCTTTGTTTTCGGACGCTGTGCCCACGTTTTCCACAGGCATTTTCTCTTACGCATTCGTGATCTTCTGGTGCAGTTTTTCGTGTGCCCAAACAATATCCATGGACCTGGCATCAAACTTCGCATATGGTTTACCTCCGTGTGTCGGTGAATCGACCGGCAACCACAGCTTTACTGTATGTTGGAGCAACCAGGGAAACCGTTCAAGGACGGGAAGCCTCAAGACGCCGCAAGTTCATTCAACTGGCCAGGAAAAGATTATCACACTTTGAACCTGCACTTAAAGTGTTTCATCGCAAACGTGATTTCTATCAAGGCATCGTCTTGGCCCTGTATCAGGATTCTGATCCTTTGTCATTGCTTGCGACAGAAGCTGCTTTGATTCGGACAATCAGGCCTGAGTTGAATTATCCATGGGTTCAGGACCTCTTGAAGTCATTACGCATCAAGCAAACCAGATTTCGTCTGCCTCAGGCCAGGACAGGGTATCGATTTACCAAGAAGTGTCAGGCATTGATTCGACGTCGACATGGAGTGTATCATCAGCACCTCTTGAACAACAAACAAGTGTTTCTCTCTCTCTCTCTCTCTCTCTCTATCGGTTGGGAAGTGACAGCTTGGAGAAGTTCGAAGAGTCCAGGCGACTTCGTTCCCATCGCACACCTTTACAGGAGCTGTATCTTCGTTGCAGGCTGGTCAGCATGATTGATGAGCCGTTCAGGACTCGAGCTGTTCAGCAATTACGGTTGATTCTGGAATTCCGTAAAGGACATATGCCACCCACCAATGTGCCCCTTCGTCTTCCGCCTCTTGCACATGATCTTGCTCAGGAAGTTTGCAGGTTACTTCGTGAACTTGTACAACAAGAGAGAGTGAATTTTCCGCCTTTGCATCTACCGTCCTGCAAGATGATCGAGATCAAAGCTTGTCCATGGTCCAGGACTGTGTTCAATTACCGATCTTTTCTGCGATCCTGGAAACCAGGGAAACCGCAGGCCTGCAAGCGTTCGAGATTCACGCCCCCATCGGAGACAGGACATCTGTTCGCTCATGTACGTGCGGTTTTTCCGAATTCCCCTCTGGCCTTCCTGAATCTCAAC